TGGATGGATGGAATTGAAGCCATGTTAATAACATTTGTAAGAAACCAACCCGTTTGTAAATCCGTCAAGATTTCAGCGAGATAAGACTATTTACGTTTGTTCAGATCACTCACCTTCCTTCATGTACCGCAGGTTCCGCCAGAGAGCTGCCCCGAATCAAGATGGCCGAAGGGTGATTCAGTTCAAAACGCTGCCTTAAGACATCTAGCCTTTATTATACATATCCATGGTCTGCACTGTAAAATATTTTACATGGATTCAACATTAAAATGGAGGGATCTTGCTGCCTTAAAAACACATTAGAAAACAGGTTATAATTTCATGTTGTTCGCTTTGTCTAATTTGTTATTATTGGGTTCTTGGTGATTGTCAGTTGTGAATAGTCAAAATTCTTTTGTGTAGTAATTTCTGTTCTATATACCAATATTGTACATAAAATGTCATTACAGAAAGAGAGATTGAAGAGAGACTTCAGACCGTTAAAAATGATTGGATCCCAAAAGTGTTATCTATACGGTGGAGTGTCTGAAGGTGATAAATTAGGATTTTTAAAGACAGACTCATTATCAGTGTCCAAATGTATAAATGCATTTTTATGTTGTCTAAGAAAGACACAAAACAACTACATCAAATCCTCTTCCATTTATGTGTATGTGGGGTCTGAATATGTTAGAAGATTTTAGGGCAGATAAGAACAAAGCTTCAAAACTGTCCCCAACCTCATGCCCCTTATCTCACCTCCCTTCTGTACAGTTATTAATCATGCTGCCAAAACATTCCAGTCGGATTTATGATCATTTGTATTTGCTCACGTTCTAACTTCTTCATTTAACATGAAGAACAGACGCTGTGGCGACGCCGTACCTGAGATAATATGGAAAATTGTCCCAATGACTGTAAAAGTTTAAGCGCTGAACTTCACTGTAGTTTACGCTTTTTCGTTTACGATTTTAACATGTGTTAAGTTCACGCAGCAGGATTTCTTCTGACAACAAACACAAGGGTCCCTAGTCTGCTAATGTTGTAAAACTCTCAACACGGCTGTCATTCAACTCAACACTTCAAGTCAGTAGAACTAAAAGGTCTGAAGCGGTCTGAAAAAATGTTTTAAGTTAAATTAACTACAAATGAATAACCCTAACGAACCCCATTGTGACAGGGGGAGGAGCAACAAACTCCCAACTGAACCCAAAACTCAGGTGTTAATGGCTCCTTTAGGATAGAAGTATCTGAAACTCACAACTAGTCAGTCAGAACTGATGAGAAGTGGAATGTCTTCAAGGAACTCAAGCAGGTCCAGTTGCTACTATTGATCTACGAGAATAACATTTTAACATTTAATGAGCTGATTTCAGATCAGTCCTGTGTGATGTCTTCCTGTCAGTGCAGAGAACAGGGACTGAAGTACAGTTCAGAACCAGCAGCATCGCTGTTGCAGCCAGATGAAGGAGACTGAGTCTAATCTGAGTGCGGGTTTCTCTTCAGGTCATATCAAGGCCTGCCCCGGTACCTCAGGTTTACTGCTGCACCAGACTCCAGCCTCCCTGTGGCCTGTGGTGGCTCTGTCTCTGTGGAGAGTCCTGGTTGCAGGAGGCAGCCAGCCGACATGAGCCATTCTGCTGAACGGATCGTCTGTGGAGGCTTTGACCAACAGAAATCTATTTATACAGTTTTAAATGTTATCAGATTGTTATACACCTTTTGTTTTGCCTTACAGCCTGATCTTCACTCATACAGTAACATATCAAGTTCTGAAAGGAAAGGATTGTCATTTATGTACACACAGATTAAAAGTGTTGAATCACATCACGAGTTTCATTATTGGTTTGTTTCAAGTTTGTTCCAAGCACATTACCCACATGAGGATAAACAATGGTATGTGTAGATATTTTGTTATTTATCATCTAAGTGAGGTCAACTAATGTTCTACAGGTGACTTCCTTTCAGGCCTAGAGTGTGATGCAGAAATGTTTTAAATTAATAATATAAAGTATATGTGTGACATGAAGGGGATCATTTTAGCTTCCTGACACAAACACAACTTTCATGAGTGATGACAAAACAGCAGCTCCAGTCACCACAGTGCATTTATAATCATATAGTCAGTCACACTGTTACAGAACTACGTTTAAATTATCATCAGATCCATCCATCCATTATCTATACACCACTTAATCCTCACTAGGGTCGCAGGGGGGCTGGAGTCTATCCCAGCTGACTTAGGGTGAAGGCAGGGAACACCCTGGACAGGTCACCAGTCTATCACAGGGCTACACTTAGAGACAGACAACCAAGCACACTCACATTCACACCTACGGACAATTTAAAATCACCAATTAACCTCAACATGTTTTTGGACTGTGTGGGAGGAAGCCGGAGAACCCTGAGAGAACCCATGCTGCACGGGGAGAACATGGAGACTCCACACAGGAAGATTCTGGTGCCCCCACCGGGACGTGAACCGGCAACCTTGTTGCTGCGAAGCAACAGTGCTACCAACTGTGCCACCCTGCAGCATCATCAGATCCATAAACTCAAAATGAACCACCACCTGTTGAACTCAGTGGTGCTTCTGACTGTCTCAACAACTCTAGACAAGTCTTGTGCTCCCACAGATCATTTATAAGCAGCACACTGTCCCCATTTGAGTCACAGTTTATTTATGAGAAAAACAGCAACATCATGGTCACAATAAAAGCTGCAGATCAATCCTGAGACACAAAGAAACTACTGGCCATTGTCTGTGAAGATTCTCAGTCATCCAGGTCATGGTTATTCTCGTAGATTAATCGTAGCAACTGGACTTGCTTGAGTTCCTTGAAGACGTTCCACCTCTCATCTAAGAGGCTTCATCAGTTCTGACTGACTAGTTGTGAGTTCCAGATACTTATATTCTAAAGGAGCCATTAACACCTGAGTTTGGGTTTCAACTGGGGGTTTGCTGCTCCTCCTGCTCGTTATGTGAGTCGTTAGTGCTCTCCTGCCACAGTGGGGTTTGTTAGGGTCTTTTGTGGCTATAGGTGTAAATGCGGTTTGATGATTGCAAGGTTTGTTTTTACATATGTTGTCTGGCATCATTGCTGCCAGGTTTTCACTGATGTGGCAGATTTTTCATTTATTTTTTTATTTTATTTTTTTGTAAAGTGTGCGACATGATACAGTTTTTCTTTAACCCTCAGTCCATCACTGTTTATACTGTGTGTTGTAAATCAAGCTGAGTTAAAGTGCTGCAAGTTACAAGACAGACAACACACAGCAATTGGATAAAAGCAGCTTCTCCTGTCTGAACAGTCGCACTGGTTTAGCTCAGTGGTTACTTCGCTCAACAATTCTCTCTGCAGAATTCGCTGATCTCCATCCCTCCGCGGGATCGAACCACGGGTGCTGTCCAGTGTTTTT